ATATCAAGGGCAGGCCCATGTAGAGCGCATTACAATAATCCAACCAGGAAGTTGCCAAAGCACGTGTCACCATTGCTAGGCAGTGCTCGTCCAGGTAAGGACGCAGCTGATGGATCAGCTGAAGCTGAAGGAAAGTGCTCCTTGCCACCACCATCACCTGGACCTCCAGGGCCAGCTCTGGGTCAAGGAGCATTCCAAGGCTGCGGGCTCTGTCCTTTAGAGGGAATGCAACTCCGTCCAGGACAGGACCAAAATCACTTACCTGAAAGCACTCCTCGCCACCAGTCAATAGTTGGCAGCTACCTCTGGGTCCAGGGACGCCTTCTTCAGGGCGGGTCTGATCACTGCCTTCTTTAAAGGGGTGGGGACCCAGCCCTCCCTCAGTGAGGTGTTATTAACCTCCTGGACCCAGGGACCAATCCCAGGGCTGGCTCTTGTAAGTAGACAAGAAGGGCAAGGGTTGAGTAAATAGGTGGTTGGGCGTACCAGCCAAAGCATCTTGTTCACTTCCTCAGGCCACAGTAACTGAAACTCATCCAACAATGACTGACCAGACAGCGCTCTGTATGACTCCTGTTCTGGAATTGTATCAACTGTGGAGTCCAGTTTGTGGCAAATCTAAGCAATTTTCTCATTAAAGTGCTGGGCAAAGTCGTCACAGTGGGCTGCTGCAAGTGTTACCACATCTTTATTTTGGTCAGCATGTGTAAGGCCACACACCACTTGAAAAAGCTCCACTGCATGGCACTGTGAGGAGGCAATGTAAGTGAAGAACTGCCTAGTGTGACCTCTTTCATGGGTTGGGCCGGTGACATGTTGAGACAGTCTCATGGCTGTCATGGAAGCCCTGAAGTCCTGAGCCACCCCGGACAGAACAGCCTCAGCATGGAAATTGAAGTCCCCCAGGACGAACATCCTGGGGGTCCTCAATACCAGGTCCGAGATGATCTCCATCAGCTCAGGCAGAGAATCTGATGGGCAGAAGGGTGCACAGTACAAATGAGTCTGCTTATGCCTTGCTCACTAGCAGGGACAGCAAAAGGCATGGAAATGAGGTTCCTGGTTTGACCAGTCCTCGGAGGAAACAATCCAGCTGAGTCCTCTTCTCTGAGCTGAAAGGGACAGGGAATTTTGTGCCTTCATCAGCATCAAGAAATGAAAAATGGGTGGAAGTACATCAATGAGATCAGATGGTATGGCCACACTCGCTGAATTCATCCAGCCACAGAAGACTTAATGGAGGGGTAATTTGCCCGCTTTTTCAGTCTGATTTTGCACCCTTGCTGTAATACTATTGAGCTAGATGAACTCCTTTGTCTGACTCCTATAGGGCATCCTCTTTTGTTCCAGTATTCTAGCTCCTAGACCAAAACCGGATGAATCCAAAAAGCTCTGTTGATAGCTTTTAGTTCTAAAAGGAACCAAATAAGTATCTCAGAGAATGACTTTCCATTGTAGGTGCTTACTGTATTTCAGTTGTTGAGTCTAAGCAGGTCTGGCTGATCATTCTTTGTTCCTTTTGATGCTGGGTGAAAATGTTTTTATTCTCCCAACATTTTAATAGTTAGATTTTTATTCTTGCTTTATTATATTTTTACTGTTCCTCTAAAATTGATTGGGCTGCAGTGGCTGTAATATTGTATTTTATGGGGATTTTATAATGATCATTTATTATTATGATTCTGTGAAACCACCCAGGGAGGCAGTCTAAAATATAATAAATAGATATGAGATTGATTGGTTCCATAAAACAAGTCACAGCCCTCAGTTTATAGAAACTGAGCAAGACTGTCATGGATATGATGTTTTGGAGCTCTTTTCATTCATGGGGTCATCATAAGTTGGAAATGACTTGACAGTGTATAGCAACAAGAGTGATAAGCAATGAATCTAACTCTACTACTGCAAAGTGCTATATACAAAATGTATACAAAATGCCTACTAATACTATAAAATATGTAGTTGATATAAAATATAATAAAAAGAATATGACTACAAGATATTTAAATAAATCAGGCCAAATTCAGAAAAAAAATATAGTGTCCTATTGCTAGATCTCTCCTTCATGGATCACTGCCTTGTCATGGTGAAGGGGCTTGTGTAGCTCAATGAAGCTATGAGCTATGTCGTGCAGGGTCACCCAAGACAGACAGGTCATAGCAGAGAGCTCTGACAAAACGTGATCCACTGGAGAAAAAAATGGAACCCACTCCAGTATCTTTGCCATGAAAACCCCATGGACAGTACCAAAAGGCAAAAAGATATGATGCCGGAAGATGAGCCCCTCAGGTTGGAAGGTGTCCAATATGCTACTGGGGAAAAGCAGAGGGCTAGTTGTAGTAGCACCAGAAAGAATGAAGCGACTGGGTCAAAGCCGAAAGGACACTCAGTTGCTGATGTATCTGGTGGTGAAAGGAGAGTCCGATGCTGCAAAGAATCCCTCAGAAGAAATGGAGTAGCCTTCATAGTCAAGAAAAGAGTAGGAAAAGCAGTACTGGGATACAATCTCCAAAATGACAGAATGATCTCAGTTCGAATCCAAGGCAAACCATTCAACATCACAATAGTCCAAGTCTATGCCCCAACCGCTGGTGCTGAAGAGGCTGAAATTGACCAGTTCTATAAAGGCCTACAACACCTTCTAGAATTAACTCCAAAAAATGATGTCCTTGTCATCATGGGGGAATTGGAATGCTAAAGTAGGAAGCCAAAAGATAACCGGAATAACAGGCAAATTTGGCCTTGGAGTACAAAATGAAGCAGGGCACAGGCTGGTAGAATTTTGTCAAGAGAATACGATGGTCATAGCAAGCACTCTTTTCCAACAACCCAAGAGACAACTCTACACATTGACATCACCAGACGGTCAACACAGAAATCAGATGGATTATGTGGTCTGCAGCCAAAGATGAAGAAGCTCTATACAGTCAGTAAAAACTAGACCAGGAGCTGACTGTGGTTCAGATCATGAGCTTCTTGTTGCAAAACTTAGGCTTAAATTGAAGAAAGTAGGGGAAAGCACTAGGCCACTCAGGTATGACCTAAATCATGTTCCTGATGAATATACTGTAGAGGTGACAAATAGATTTAAGGAATTAGATCTGATAGAGTGCCTGAAGAACTATGGATGGAGGTTTGCAACACTGTAGAAGAGGCGGCAACTAAAACCATCCCAATGAAAAAGAAATGCAAGAAAGCAAAATGGATGTCTGAGGAAGCTTTACAAATAGCTGACGGGAAGTGAAAGGCAAGGGGGAAAGAGAAAGATACAAACAATTGAATGCAGAATTCCAGAGAATAGCTAGAAGAGGTAAGAATGCCTTCTTAAATGAACAGTGCAAAGAAATAGAAGAAAACAATAGAATAGGGAGGACCAGAGATCTCTTCAAGAAAATTAGAGATATGAAGGGAACATTTCATGCAAAGATGGGCATGATAAAGGACCAAAATGGCAGGGACCTAACAGAGGCAGAAGAGATTAAGAAGAGGTGGCAAGATTACACAGAAGAACTATACAAGAAAGAGCTTAACCTCTCTGATAACCACAATGGGGTGTCACTGACCTCAAGCCACACATCCTGGAATGTTAAGTCAAATGGGCCTTAGGAAGTCTGAGCAACAACAAAGCTCGTAGAGGTGACAGTATTCCAGCTGAACTATTCAAAATCCTAAAAGATGATGCAGTAAAAGTGCTACACTCAACATGTCAGCAAATTTGGAAAACTCAACAGTGGCCACAGGATTGGAAAAGGTCAGTTTACATTCCCATCCCAAAGAAGGGCAATGCCAAAGAATGTTCAAACTACCACACCATTGCACTCATTTTACATGCTAACAAAGTAATGCTCAAAATCCTACAAGATAGGCTCCAGAATTATGTGGACCGAGAACTACCAGAAGTACAGGCAGGATTTCGAAGAGGGAGAGGAACTAGAGATCAAATTGCCAACATACGCTGGATCATGGAGAAAGTTAGGAAGTTCCAGAAAAACATCTACTTCTGCTTCATTGACTATGCTAAAGCCTTTGATTGTGTGGATCACAACAAATTGTGGCAATTTCTTAAAGAGATGGGAGTACCAGACCATCTTATTTGTCTCTTGAGAAACCTATATGTGGGTCAAGAAGCAACAGTGAGAACTGGGCATGGAACCACTGATTGGTTCAAAATTGAGAAAGGAGTTCGGCAAGGCTGCATACTGTCGCCCTACCTGTTTAACTTATATGCAGAGCACACCACGAGAAAGGCGGGGCTAGATGAATCACCAATTGGAATTAAGATTGCTGGGAGAAGTATCAACAACCTCAGATATGCAGATGATACCACTCTCATGGCAGAAAGTGAAGAGGAACTAAAGAGCCTCTTGATGCGGGTGAAAGAGGAGAGTGGAAAAGTTGGCTTGAAACTCAACATTAAGAAAACTAAGATCGTGGCATCTGGTCCTATCACTTCCTGGCAAATACATGGGGAAGAAATGGAGGTTGTGACAGATTTTATTTTCCTGCGCTCCAAGATCATCGCAGACGGGGACTGCAGCCAAGAAATTAAAAGATGCTTGCTCCTGGGAAGGAAAGCTATGGCAAATCTAGACAGCATACTAAAAAGCAGAGACATCACCCTGCCAACAAAAGTGCGTATTGTCAAGGCTATGGTTTTCCCAGTTGCAATGTGTGGCTGTAAAAGGTGGACCATAAGGAAGACTGAGCGCAAAAGGACTGAGGCCTTTGAATTGTGGTGCTGGAGGAGACTTCTACGAGTCCCTTGGACTGCAAGGTGATCAAACCGGTCAGTCCTAGAGGAGATCAACCCTGACTGCTCTTTAGAAGGCCAGATCCTGAAGATGAAACTCAAATACTTTGGCCACCTAATGAGAAGGAAGGACTCCCTGGAGAAGAGTCTAATGCTGGGAACAATAGATGGCAAAAGAAGAAGGGGACGGCAGAGGATGAGGTGGCTAGATGGACTCACTGAGGCAGTTGGTGTGAGCTTAGGTGGACTCTGGGAGATGGTGGAGGACAGGAAAGCCTGGAGGGGTGTTTTCTGTGGGGTCGCAATGGGTCGGACACGACTTTGTGACTAACAACAATTGCTAGATCTGGACATAGGTCATGTAAGGTCTTGAGTTTTACAGAAAAAATACAACTTTGCCAGCTCTTGCTTTCAGTTGCATAGTATATTTATTGGCCACCTAATTGATTGCCTCAAGTACATGTTTGCAATAAACAGATGGCTGCCTTGATGCAATTCTGAGTCATTCTTCTGCTTTATTCTAAGCCAAATTCTCTCTCGACATTTGATTCTACTTTATTTCCTATTTTTGCATTCCAGTCACCTATGATTATCAGTGTGTCTTGTTTTGGTGTGTTATTTTTATTCTTTTAACACCTGAATAGAAGTTTCTTCCTTCTTTAGAATCTGTTGTTGGATGGGTAGGGTTTTAAAGAATTCATTGGACTTCGTATGATATCCCCTTCCTAGTTGGGCTGTATCTTGTTTTCAGTGTTAGAGCTACTCTGTTTCTTCCAAGTCTGTCATTCTGAGAGTGAAACACTTTGTTTGTCTAACTGAAAGTGTTTCATTGCAGTCCACTTTATTTTGTACCTCAGTTAGTCAGTCAATTAGTTTATTGCATTTAGCCATAGGCCATTACAACTCAACAAGCTAAAACATTGAATTCACAAATAAAACCATAAATAAAACATATTAAAACATAATACTAAAAAGACAGACCAGGTGTGATTCAGGACAGCTCTTACCTTTTTTAGCTGCAAGAGCAAAAAGAGAGACTCAGTAAGACACGTGCACAACAATATCTGACAACAAAAACACTAACTTCTCAGGATCAGAGTAGGCATTGAAGGTGGGTAGTGCACTAGACAATTTTCCCCCCTAGGTTCACAATATAATGAACAGTGAAGAATAGAGTGCAAGAGGTCCTCTATTTTAGGTGATTCACAGATGCAGACACGCTGCTCCATTGGAATATGGGAATAACGACCAGTTAGTAAGGCTGTATACGTGGCTTGGAAACAAGGCTGTAATTAGGGATGGAAACAAAGTAATCAGATCTTAGATGGTCATGTTTAATTAGTTTAAACCAAGGAGAGGCCTTGGAATGCAGAACTGAAAAATGGTCAGTTAGGGCATCTGAATGATACATGGGAATTATCAACTGTAGTCCCTAGGAGATTGTCAGAGATGGAGTATCTGTCAGTGATGGCATTAAAGAATCTGAGTCATTTAGGGTCTTTTGATGATAATAATTTGAATAATTTATGCCCTAAGGAGTTGATGCTGGAGCGAATGTTCCTGTTCCAACGCTTTAATAAGGCAAGGTGTGCACGTGCCCTAGGAGAAGGGACCCCTGTTTCTGCTCTTGACAGAGCAGAGGTAGGGCAAGTATACACCTCAAAAAAGCATTCTGAATTACCTCCAAAGAAGATAGTATATTCTCATTCCATCTCCATACTTCAATACCATATAAAAGATGGGGAACGACCTTGGTTTTAAATAGCTTCAATGCAGGATCGATCAAACATCCTTCTTTAGTATAAAAAAGTGCAAGATAGACCCTGCAATCCTAAGAGCTTTTAACTGTTTCAAGGTGGAGTTTCCAGTTTAAAGTGTCCCTAAATGTGACCCCTAGATATTTTAAAAAATGACATTGTTTGATTGGGTTACCAAGGATGCTCCAAGATGAAATTCTGGTTTTTTTCTGAAGACCATTACTTTGGTCTTGGCATAATTTATGTTAAGAGCTTCTAGTTTACAATAGTGGCCTAACTGTTGTAAAAGCCTTCTTAAACCAATTTTTGTTTGGGAGATCAGGACCATACCATCAGCATTTAGTAGTACTGAAATTTTTAGCTGACCCAATGATGGGGGTGTAAAATGCAGTCCTGATACGCACTCTACAATATTATGTAAAGGTTGAATAATAAGGGGGCCAGCACACACCCCTGCTTCACACCTTTTCTAATGGGAATTTCTTTTCCCACCCTGATTTGTGCAACTGTGTCTCTGTGGATCTCCTGGAGCAGAGAAAGAAGTCTTTTGTCTATGTCCATTGCAGCAAGCTTAGCCCATAAGTGTGATCTATTGATGGGGTCAAATGCTGCTGCCAGGTCAACAAACACAACATCGAGTGCCTTTCTTTGCCCATTAATACCAACGTGGGCCAGTTGATACGATATTTGGCAGTGGTTGATGGTTCCAAGGCCTTTCCAGAAACCTGCTTGTACTGTGTGTAGAATATGCTCCGTATCCACCCAATCTTCCAATTTTGTCAGTAGGTATTTACTATAAAGTTTTGCTGGAACATCAAGCAAACTTATTGGTCTATAATTTTGTGGGTCTGCTTTATCCCCGTTTTTATGGATAGGGGCTACAATGCTTACCTTCCAGCCGGGTGAGATCTGGCCTGTTTCATTAACCAAGAAGAACACTCTGGCCAGATTGGAGCCCACCATTCTGGGAAGGCTTTAAATAAATCTGGTGGAAGCATATCCTCTCCAGGGGATTTGCCACGTTTCAGAGAGGCAATTAGATTGCTGATTTCAGCAGCTGAAACAGGCAGCCATTCCAGTGTCTCCCTGGGAAGGAAAATGCTTCCTGTGGCTGTTGAGACCCAAAAACAGTACTGAAATAAGAAAACCAAACATGGCCTGGTCGGTATGAATCGACCTGGCAATAAGGACTATTCTTATGGTTAGCGACCAGTTCCCAAAATTGTGAATCTCTTTTTTTGGAAACTGCTCAGTCTAGCTCTTGCCAAAGAAACTTAGCATGTTCCAGTTTCTTTTGCTTAATTAAGTTTTTATAGTGGGACCTAAGTAATAAAAGATTAGACAACCCACCTTCCCTACCGTACCTAACTTGTCTCATGTGTTGTGACACGAGATAAGTTCTTTTTTAAAGATTTTACAGTCATGATTGAACCAGCCATCTTGAGCATGGGCTGCTTTTTTGGTCTATTGTTTATAAGACGCTTAAGATGGTTGTTAATCTCACTGAAGAATTGTGTAACATCGGAATTGTGTTGCAAGAGTCTCTCAAGCAGCTCAATTCCTGGCTCGACAGAGTATCAGCTAAAACAGAATGTATTCTGTTAGACCATTTAAGTCTCCTAACATTAGGAGTGAGATCCTCTTCAAAATCCATAAGCGGTTCATCATGACATTGGAATTAACTTTAAGGGACAAGTGTTGTGGGCAGTGATCGCTCAAAGTAAGGTCTAAAACTTTGAATTTAACCACCAGATTCAGTAAGGTGGGAGTAATAGCTATATAAACTACAGTGCTGGTCCTGCCAGTCCCAGGGTGAGTATAGGTGCCACCAGTTATATCAAAAGAGGTGCCACAGAGTATATGGAGATTAGACATGGAAAGGAGCTCAAAAAGATTTAACCCATACTTGTTCACTATTGAATCCTTTGAAGATTGATCTAGAAATTGGGCATGCCTAGCATGCTGAGCATTCAGGTCATTTCCTTCCTCAAAGATGCCTGCTCCTATTCTCGCCTTAAAATCCCCACATAGAATAACATGTTCGTACGGGAAATGAGATATTAACGAGTCTAGCATATCAGTTAACATGTCCCAGATGCAGGCCCTACTTGAAAAAGGTGAGCTCATGGGTGGAATGTAGACATTTACACATAGTAAACTTCTAAAATAATCACCTTCAAGGAGTAGGGTCTGGAAATTACTGGGACAGTTGTTCTCTACAACCTAGATGTCAATGTTTAGGTCCACTGATACCAATGTAGCCATGCCTCCACTTCCTTGACCCTTTGAGTGAGTTTTGGTTGCAGGGACAAAATAAGTCCTGAACCCCTGAATATCCAAAGAGTCAGGGTTCATGAGCCATGTTTCTTGAAGGCATAATATATCAAAGCCATGGATAAATCTTATAAAATCGGAATCGTAAAGCTTATTGAGCCAACCCCCCAGGTTCCAAGAGAGGAACTCATGTTGTCAATCGGCATTTGACATCTTATTTTGGACCTCATCAGAGACCCTAAAAGAGGAACCATACTTTGGGGGGCCCTCCACCACACTGGCATTGGCTGCAGAAATGAGGACAGGTGTTTTCCAACCTGCCTTCCCTTGAGTAGAAGTGGAGGAAGTGACTTCTGAGTGTCTTGTATTTGCCCTCAATGGAATAAGAGGAGTCGGAAGTGAAGTAGTGTCAGGACAATTCTCAGGTGATGAAGATGGACCAAGTGACTTTGAGTTGTTTTCTAGCAAGGATGTTTGGTTAGACAATTCAGAAGGTTTGTATTGATTTTCTTCAGGATTACTGTCAAGCTGATAGTCCAAAGATATTAAATGAATTAAGGGCTTTGCTGCTGCTTGAGTCAGCAGCGGTGTTTGTTTCCGTTCGTCCAACCTTCTCAGTATGTCATCTTACTCTTCATTTGGTAGAGCTTCAAAGGAGGTAATTAGACCTGATTCCAAGGCATCATCAGTGCCAGATCTTTCTCATGTAAGTTCAGCATGATTATTCTGACAAAGTCTAGTCAAGGTTGCTGAAGGTGCTGGGTTACTATGGTTTTTATCATTTGGCTCCTTATCTGTGGCATAAGGCAGGAGAGTGTCTGCTTGGGGAGATATGCCAGAAAGGATGCTTCTTTTTTCATCGTGGAAGACTCTTAATGGATATATTTGAAAGGTAGAAAGAAAATGTTTTATTTTAAACAGCATACCGGGAATGATTAAAAGATGATAAAATGCATTTGTGGCCTCTCATGCTAGGGAGCCATTTCACAGCACTTAAATCAATCGTCTAACTTTGGCATCAGAGAAGAGATAGAATAATAGCTCTTCTGGTGGACCAGCACTCAATATTAAATCTGTTGGGTGTACTTCTTAGTGCAACCTGATGTGTTTTAAGAACACGGTTGTACATATTTTACTTAACTCCTTGGCAGAAGATGGAACTGCATGCAGTGCCTCTGATCATGTATCCTTTCTGGACTTAGGGAGTTCTTCTAAACAGTTTTGCTTCCTTAGACTATCTGTGGGCAGGTCCGAATTGGTGCCAAAATTAAAGGCTGTTTCAGAAGCTGCCAGCTTGTCTACAAAGCCCTGCACAAAGGTTTCAAAAGCTGTTTTTAAAGAATTCACCTTTGTATTTATTTGAGTTAACTGCTGGAAGATTGAAATCAGAGTTTGGGCAGTTAATAGACATAGTTTGGCAGCAAAGCCTGTTGTAAATTCCTTGGATGGTTGATTGTTTTGTTCTTCCCACCCCAAAAAGGTATAAACATCAGGAGAGGGTAACATAGGCAAAGGCTAGTTCAAGTGAATAGACACCTTCTGCAGAGTGGAGGACAAGTCTAATAATGTTTTTTTCTCAATTTCTGATTCCAAGACCCAGTTTAGTAAATCGCAGCTGTTAGAAGTAGAAACAGAATAAAGGAGATTTATCTTGTTCTTATTACTTACAGTTTTCCCGGGCGTCACATACGCTTCAATGTTTGGTTGTTTACTTGGCTTGGGCAGAGTAGATAAACCAGGGCTAGTCCTGCTGCGTTTGTTGTTCTTGTTCCTCACCATTGCAACAGTGGCTTGTATAATATTTCCAGGAACTTACAGATTCAAGATGCAGTGTCTTTTGTAGGAGGCTTGATTTTAAAACACTACTACATAAAAATTAGTAAGAATTAAAATGAGTAAGTGGATAATAAACTAAAACTGATAATATTGATAAGGTATCAGAGGGAGCTCAACAGAGAGGCTGTTGCTCTGTTGCAATTTGGAAAAAGCCCTAATTTGTACCTATTCTTGCTTTAAGGTCCCCATTTGCCTCAATTCATACTTCTCAAGTTCCATATCCAACTGTATGTGCTTGCAACATCAGACTTTGTTTGCATTTCTCTGCATGTCGGCCACTAGACTTCCATTCAGTTTTGATCTAGATGCATCATTAGTGACAGCACTATTTGTATTTGTCCCTTGTTCTCAGTAGCTGATTGGATGCCTTCTGAGTAGGGAGTCTCTGGCACTACCTCCTGTTTTAATTTGGATTGTTTGATTACAAGTTTTAAAAAGTAAGAAATATTCAGAGGTGGTTTGCCAATGATTTCATCTGCACTGTACTAATTAAAGTTAGCGTGAACATCACTACTGTTCCTTTACTACTTGTCCATAGCTGCTCCCACAATGCCACAATGGGGATCATTAGGAGAAAGACACAGAACGGAAATGCAATACACAAATAAAGTATAAATACCCAGTCCCAAAGACTACAGAGCACTTCAGTGGAAAAGAGTTTGCTTGCATATAATCCCAGATTCATGGCATTTCCAATTAAAGGGTCACAAGTAGGAAAGGTGGGAAAGAGATCTGCTTGTGGCAAGATGAAGCAAAGTCCTGATTCAGCTATTCCTTTCTAGCTGTATGTTAAAACAGTCACTGAAAAACAAAATAGAGAACCTTGGCTGTACAATCCTGATCTCTAGTGGGCAAATAAGTCATGGCAGAACAATAACTGGTTTCTAACAAGATCTCTTACGTTCCCAATACACTCCATGCCACTGAGACTTATTTAAACCACATTGCAGGCTGATGATTGTGCAAAGTCAGTTGCTGGAAATATTCCTGTGACACATCCTGTAGATCAATTAGCCCCCCTGAGCTAAAGCAAGGGAAATCAACACACCATTCCTCAACATTCATAAATGTAAATCTCCTGTATTATGATTATTAGACTTGTTAAGCACACACACGAATAAGGAAGGCACTAAACCTGCCACCTTTGTGCAAGAGTAGGGGGACTAGTTAAGATCAGCAATTTGGATTCTGATGGACCTGGAAATCCTGGAATGTTTCCTGTTGAGTGTGGCTGTTTTGCCAGGTATATACAGAGACATGGTGAAGGCTCCTAAGAGGCTTCCCACAACAGAGAAAAACTGTGCTGAACCCGAACATGTGAGACTGAGTTTTAGAGCCTTCTCTATGGTGGCGATGGTGGCAAAATGGGATGTTGTGTGGGTGTGATGTTGGATTATGTCAGCTGAGACTGACATCATGCTTTGCGTTGAACTCAAGCCTTGGACGCCAACTACATTGACTACAACAGGGACATAGGTGTCGGTATTTTTTGCTGAAAGGGAGTTTTCAAAGTTGCTTTGGTTTGATTTAACAGATGCACATCATCTCCTGTGGTTTTGTGGGCAATTTGCTGAATTCTTCCTTGTGTGTGGTTCACACACAGAAATCTAAACATCCACACAGAGTAGAACTTGTTGCAAATTCTGACTTCATTTTATATATTCCACGTGTTTGTCTTTCTGTCGGTCCAGGATATTCACACAGCTTTCTTCCAGCACATATCAATTTTCTTCTTGTCAGCTTTCACAGGGATACATAGTGATCAGGAATACAATAATGCAAATGACCTTGGCTTTGGTCTCTGGTAAAGTGTCCTTACACCTGATCATTTTCTCCAATTCCTTCACTGCTACTCTTCCAAGTCTCAGTCATCTTCTAATTTTCTGGCTGCAGCCTTGCTTTGAATTGAAGATTGAGCCAAAGTATGCAAAATCTTTCACAATTTCAATGACTTCATTGTTGAAATTAAAGTTGTATATTTCTTCTGTAGTCATTATTGCTGCTTTCAGCCAGTATTATCATGTCATCTGCATATCTTAAATTATTGATATATCCAAAAATTCTTGACTTTCCTCCCCAAAGCTTGCCAGTGTCATTTGTTCCAGCATAGAAGGGACACATGTAAGTGGGCTTTATGAGTTAGTTATATCACTAATTCATCTTCCAGGAAAACAGCATACTTAATGAGTCTATGGGTCTTTGTGTCATATGTGTGTTTCCATCCCACACAACAGGGAGTCTCCCACAACCAAACACTCTTCTCTTCTTGTTCTTGCAAGCCTTGGTATTGTAGGACTCCTGACTGGCACATTTGAATCCATATGGTTTCCACATGCACCATGTGGGAGGCTGGGTCACCTTAAGGCTGTGATGAAGGGTTTTTGGCAGGAAATTCCTCAGTCTCTGGCTGTCGGTGATTCTTGTTGTTGTGTAGCTATGTTGGAGGTTCTATATTGTTGTGTAGATCCTTGGGACATGATCAGCCAGCCCATGCCTCATGCTCACTAGCCAGGTATGTCCTACAATATCTTTGCCAGTATTTGGTTCACCTGTAGCCTCTTGTTCAATGGTGCATGAGATGACTTCTAGTTCTTCCACTGCAGGCTGCTCTCTACTCACATCCTCAAGTAACTGAAAGCAATTTCATAGTTCCACTGCTTCCACTGGTGCAGAGCATGTTCTAGTTCTTCTAGTTTTTCTGTACCTGTCACCCTTTTCCAGGGAGTTTTCTTCTCATTTTCCATTTCCTAAGGATTTTCTCTTCTTCTACCTCAGTTTGCTGTTGCACTTCTAGCTTCTGTACTACTCTTAGCTATTACAGTTCCACTGCTCTATCTAAAAACTCTGCATCTTCTTTTATTAACTTGAGGATAGATACTCGCTGCTCTAGTGCTCTCACCTTTCCTTTTAACAGGCTACTAGGTTGCACTTGTTGCACATGTAGGTCATGTTGTCCTTAGGCAAGAAAACAAACATTGCACAGACTTTATAGATCACCATCATTGAAGAGTCCTCGTGGTCCATTCTTCCTGCTATCTTTTTGATTCTAGCTTTCTGGGCCTTTTGTAACCGCCACTGCTTTCTCCTGTCTTCTCTGAAGGTTAACAACACAGTCCTACTTGTAAATGGGAGTGTAGGACTGTATTGCAAGGAAGAAAGTGGGGGGGGGGATGAAGGAGAAAAAAGAAAAAGAAAAAAGTTAGGGACCTACATTGACCCCTCCCCCTGCCAAACTTGCTGCCATACTTCTGTTCATTCTCAGTGGTCACTCACTCTGATCACTCACTCTCTGGGAACTTGGCTGCTTGTATCCCAGTCCCTAGGCCAGCTGAGGCAGGTTCCTCTGTTCTGCTCAGCAAGGAGTCAGGATCCAGAATGAATCTCCCCACCCACATAGCTGCTGCTCATAATCAGACCACTTCCTTTCAGTTGCAGATCTCAGGACCATGTGGCTTCTTGGAAAATACTTCTTGCTGCACTGGTACAGTCTCCTCACCCCTTTGCCTCTCCTTCCACTACAACTCGGCCACCAAAGTCCTGTTAGTTCTCCCAATTTGCTTATTCTGATCACTCACTCCCTGGGAGTTCAGCTGCTTGTATCTCAAAATCCCTAGACCAGGGGTCTCAAACTCACGGCCCGTGGGACGATATTTTGTGGCCCCCGCTTGATATCAAAGTTTAGTGATAGTGCGGCCCGCGTGTTTTTCTCACATGCACCTGCGTGAGTCGTTACCCTGGGCGCAATGTTCCCTCTAAGCTGCGCGCCGGGCCGGGCAGGGCATGGGGGACAGGCCCTGCGGCCTTCAAAGCGCCGGCGGCATCCAGGCCGGCCTCCAGGAGCGACGCGGGATGAGCGGTCCACCACCACCGCTGCCGTCCCGGCGCGCAGCTTAGAGGGAACATTGCCTGGGCGTTTTATATTTTTTGTCACCTGTGGGCTACCATAGCTCAGGGTTGTGACAGCAACGCAAATTAACAACGTTAGTCACTTGAAACATGATTCGGGAGTGTCACCGAGTGAAGGGAAAATATATCCTGTCACCCAGTGCAAATACGTTTTTTTTTGTCACCCAGCCCCAGTTGTGTCTTTCTCAAAACCTGCCGTGAAGAGAAAGGTTGGCGATGAGCACAGGCAATTTCAGGAGAAGCGGGAGACGGAATATTTTTTTGTTGAGCACAGGGGCATCCCGACGTGTCTTATATGCACAGAGAAAGTTGCGGTGCACAAGGAGTACAACATCAGATGTCATTACTCAACTAGACATGCTGAGGAGTATGCAAAATCCCAGGGAGATGAGAGAGAGGACCATGTCGCCAAACTTAAAACAAGTCTACTGAGGCAACAAGATTTTTTCAAGAAAGCAAGCAAAGAGAGTGATGCGGCAGTCGAAGCCAGCTACGTAGTGAGTGAGATGATTGCTAAGGCAGGAAAGCCATTTAAAGACGGCGAGTTCATCAAAAAGTGCATGTTACAGGCTGCAAGTATAGTCTGACCCGAAAAAAAGGGTCAGTTTAGCAACATCAGCCTCTCAGCCAACACAGTGGCAGAGCACATTTCTGACCTGTCAGGTAACATTTACGATCAACTGCATGAGAAAGCTAAACATTTTCATGCATACTCGGACGCTCTTGATGAGAGCACAGACGTCACTGACACTGTGCAGCTCACAATATATGTCCGTGGTGTTGACGACAATGTTGAAGTGATGGAGGAGTTACTCACAGTGATTCCAATGCATGGCCAGACCACCGCTCAGGAGATATTCCGCCAGCTGTGTGATGCCATTGCAGATGCCAGCTTACTATGGAAGAGTTTTGCTGGAATAATAACCGATGGAGCGCCATCAATGACAGGGAGGAGAAATGGAGTCGTGGCATTTGTTCAAAGAAAATTGGAAGGAGAGGCTGTGGAAGAGGCCATTGCTCTGCACTGCATTATCCATCAGCAGGCCCTTTGCAGCGAATGCCTGACGTTTGACAATGTGATATCTGACATTGTGAAATGTATCAACTATATCAGATCCAGGGGCTTAAAGCACCGGCAGTTCCGCGCCTTTTTAGAGGAAATAGAGTCAGCGTATGAGGATGTGCTCTACTACACCAAGGTATGTTGACTTAGCAGGGGAAACATCTTGAAGAGGTTGAGTTGAGAGCAGAGGTGAAAACCTTCATGGAGAAAGATGGGATGGCTGTTCCTATACTAAGTGATCCCAAATGGCTCATGGACTTGTTGACATCACACAGGAGCTGAATGTACTGAACAAGAAATTACAAGGCCAGGGGCAGCTTGTCAGTGCTGCCTATGACAATGTCAGAGCATTCTCCACAAAACTTGTGTTATGGAAAGCCCAGCTTTCTCAGACAAACCTCTGCCATTTCCCAGCATGCAAGGCACTCATGGATTCTGGCACACCATTCAGTGGTGAGAAGTATGCTGATGCCATTGTAAAGCTACAGGAAGAATTTGATCACAGGTTTGCAGATTTCAAGACACACAGAGCCACTTTTCAAATTTTTGCTGACCCCTTCTCCTTTGATGTGGAAGATGCCCTCCTGTGCTTCAAATGGAGCTAATTGACCTGCAGTGCAATTCTGAACTCAAAGCCAAGTTCAGGGAGGTGAGTGGAAAAGCAGACAAGCTTGGACAATTTTTGAGAGAATTGCCCCTTACCTTCCCTGAACTTTCCAGGATGTTCAAGCGGACCATGTGCCTTTTTGGGAGCACCTATCTGTGAAATGCTCTTCTCCACCATGAACTTTAATAAGTCAAAGTTCAGGTCCAAACTTACTGATGAGCATCTTCAAGCCATACTGAGGGTCTCAGTTGCTTCCTTCCTCAAGCCAAATGTGGCTCAGCTGTGTAAGAGGAAGTGCTGTCAGGTCTCTGACAGCAAGGAGTAGGAGGAAATAAGAGAAGCCTATGTTCTGAAGAACCGTTCATGTTCTGAATTATTATTAGTAAAGATTGAGAAGATTGGATCAGTTTTACTTTTTTTGGAATACTTGAAATCCATTTTTTGTGGAATACTTGATGCGGCCCAGCCTCACCCAGACTCTACTTCCAGCAGCCCCCAGGTAAGTTGAGTTTGAGACCACTGCCATAGACCAACTAGGGCAGCTTCTTCTGTTCTGCTTAGAGTGTGATAAGGGAATGCCTGCACCAATCAGGATACTGTCTCACAGAAGGTACTCCATAAATATATGTATACAGAAATGCTGCATCCATTGGCCAAACACACAGGCTAGCATGAATATTGATGATGGAATGATTGTTATTAGGCATGATTCTCCTCTCCCATCAAAACTTGATGTATATTTGTATAAACAAACAATGATCAAACCAAAGTTCACCAAATTCATTTCATAAAACAAAAGTGCAGTTTGTTCTAAAGTGAAAGCACATATTTTTGAGGAGTTTTGGGATAGATCGATGCATTGTCTGATGGATTAGGGCATGGCTGATGAACCAAAATCAGAGGGTAACTATTAGTAGGGGATCATCAGGATGGCAGCCGGTGATGAGCAGGGTCCCCCACGGCTCTGTCCTGCAACCAATTCTGTTCAATCTTTCCATCAATGACCTGGAAGAGGGGGTGACCAGTCTGCTGATCAAATTTGCATACTAAAATGGGGGCTGTGAATATAACAGAGGAGTAGGTACTCCAGATCCAAAAAGATCTGGACAGACTATGGAAGTGGGCATGGGACAACAGGATGGCATTCAATGTGGGTAAGTGCAAGGTCTTGCACTTGGGGCATTCGAATCGTTGTCATAAGAACAGGTTAGGAGACAAGTGGCTGGAGAGCAGCCCTTGTGAAAGGGATCTTAGGGTGCTGGTTGACTGCTGTCTAAACACGAGTCAGCAGTGTGATGTGGCGGTCAAAAGGGCGAACACCACCCTTGGTTGCATAACTGGAAGCATGGCTTCTAGATCAAGAGAGGTATTACTACCATTCTCTACGACTCTGGTGCGCCCGCAACTGGAGTGTTGTGTTCAGTTCTGGGCCCCTCATTACAGGAAGGATATAGCCAGGTTAGAGACAGTGCAGTGTAGGGCCACAGGGATGGTGGCTGGATTGCAGGGAAAGCCATATGAGGCGAGACTAAGGGTACTGGGTCTTTTCGGCCTGGAGAAGAGGGGACTCCAAGGGGATCTGGGGTTCATCCTGACAGTTAAGACCCCTAGGTTATGAAATGGGCTTCCACGGGAAGTGGTTGAAGCTCCATTGGTGAGGGTGTTCAAGAATAGGCTAGACATGAACATGGTAGGCATGTCATGAGCGAAGCTGGCTGGAGCCAGGGATTGGACTAGATGGCCCAGGATGCCCTTCTGAGTTGCTCTGTTTCTATGTTTCTATTTTTCTCTACAGTGTGAAAAAGAGGATGGGAATGGGAGTAGGTAAAGCTAAGATTCATTTGCAATATTGACTGGGCTACTGTGCAGTTATATTCCATTATCACAGTTTTAAAATTCCTTGCTTGTCCTGTCCATTATTTTCCACTGTTCTCAAGTATCTAAGATACTCTCCACTACTGAAAACTTAACGTAAGATTTTCCACTTTGAGTGGTGGGTGTCCACCCTCCAAGAAATAAGAGAAAGTAAAGAATTATTGGACAGAACAATGGAACTTTGGGAAGAACACGAAGAATTAAAGATAGATGAGCAACAGCAGGTTGAAGCAGAAATGGAGAATGCTGAACTGGGGAAAACCAATGAAAAAGAAACTTCCTGAGGAATGATAACAGGAGCAGGAGAATCAGAAGTCACTCTGCTCCAGTGGAACCACTGGAGCTAAATAATCACTTTCAGCTACTGGAGTATGGAGCCTGTAGAAAAAGAATTACAAGGGAGCCTAGGCAACAGAGAGTATGATGCAGAAAAACTACTGACCAAGAAAAAAAAAATAGTCATGGTAGGAGACTCCTTTTTGCATGGGACTAAAACCCAAGGATGTTGCAATGACCCATGTATGCTGTCTTCTTGAAGTTCAGATTAGAAATGTGACTAAAAGACTTAAAAAGCCCATAGACACCTTCCTGTTCTTCTAATCCATGTGGGAACAAATGGCACTGCCAAATAGAGCTACAAAAAACCTGTCAGATTTTGAAGCTGTAGTGTTCTCATCCATCCTCTCAG